ATTATTAAATGATATTTCAGTTCCTTGTGTGATATGAAGTTCTGTGTGTTTGCTGCTAGCTAATGTGTTTCCTGGTTTCGTTTTCTATCCTGATCTATATTTATGAACATCACATTTTCTTGGCTGAATCAGATCTTTATAGAGGGTGTTGTCGACGAAGCAGAGCACAATTATCTGTCTGGAACGTCAGGTCTTATTACTCAGACTTTTTAAAAGGTCAAAATGTGATAACTGCCCTTTTGCTGTTTTACCATTGCTTTATCGTTTTTAAGTGAGCTTTTTACCTATCGACATTCTCTTCGTGGTTGGTAGAACGGATTTTATCAACAACTATACAAGAAAATTATTCATAGAATATTGAATCATGTTGTGTGTCGCATTGCCTCTTTATGAGGAAATGTATTATTTTTCGTCGATTTTTATTATTTAAGTTCTCTGAAAGACGAATATCTATTAAAAAATTATTGAAATATTGGCCTTTGTTAAAAAGGAAACCCAAGCATTTCGGAGAGTGTTGAAGTATTTGTAATCAGAATAGTTACGATAAAACATAAACCGGAAAAACTATTCCGAAATCTTAATTCAAACTTTAAGTTGATGAAACGAGGGCAAAAGTACAGTATTAACAAAGGAAATATTAACACAGCGATTTTTTTCTAACTGGCACAAGAGGATCAAATCAAAGTGCTTCGACAAGGTAGACCACTTCTCCTTCATTATTGACACCAGACATGTAAATGTAGGTCAAGTAATATCAGGTTCTCGTATGTAAATCATGTTTATCGCAAACCTTCGACCATACAACATATAAAAATTTCAAATGGCAAAATCGAAATAGTTCCCAATTAAATGATGATTGCGACCAAATATTTTCCGATATAAGTCTTTATCAACTTGCATTTATGGACACTGTCTGCTGTAAGTTCATCTGCCACCTGTCGAAATCTTTAAAAGATATCGTGATATTTGGAGCAAACAATTGGATATCAATATCAACTTCGACCTGTTAACACTGTAGTGTTTTCCAGTTCTAATGAGTAAATACGATGTACATGATCAATAAATGTCGTGCTAATTAAAGGCAATGCAATATAAATATATCTAATGGTGAAACTAACAAGATCATTATTACCTGTTTTAATCAATTCAGTCTCGTATGAAAAATATTAAGTAAACCAAAAAACAACAGGAAAATACCAACATGTGAATAGAATCACAATCCAAACTTATTTTTTGATAAAACAAGGGTAAAATACAAGTTAAAGGCATATTTACTTGGGGACCCCTGAACCGTACACCGAAAAAACGTGTGTTCCGAAAGGGTCAGTGTCTTCTGCTTCATGGCGACACCCGCCGTGTAAATCTGGGTCAGTATGGGTAGTTTATGTAACGTTCTCCAATGAAAACAAAGTTAACAACAAACAGAACCAACAGGCAAAATAACGAGAGTAAAACACGTACAGCTTCATATCACACAAAGAAATAGAAAAGGGCATTCTGACCGTAAAACATTGATAAGTTTCGTCTTTAGAAAGATTCGATACAGTGATTTTTTTTTGTTATCGTACAGGACAATCTTGATCGAAATTCAATAAACTACTGTGAAATATGAACAAAAGAAATATTAACATAAAGACTCCTGAAAAGTACTAGGAGAATAAGACCTGTTGATCCAGAATATTAAGCGTCGTCTGCTTCATCGACGACACCCAACATGTAAATATTGATCAATCCAAGTAACGTGTGCCACGTTCCCAAACGAGAACACGGTAAATAACACGAAACCAACGGGTGACTAACTTATATTATTGCATACCCCATAAGAAAATAAAATATTTCTTAATTTTATCATTATGGCGACCGCAAAACTTCCCTATAATTTCAAACATCTCTTGATACTCCGTGTTGTGAGTTTGTCTGTTGTCGGTATCTTTAGCGAATGTCGTGATGTTGAGAATAAACCTTTAAATATCGAATCGACTGCAAAATGTCAACTTTGCTCGGGAATGTAGGGATGTTGCTCTCCAGAAATAGAAAATTTACAATAGGGAAATTGAAACCATCACGCTTCTTATATATCTTGTTAAAAAGTTGTTTCTGCTGATTTTTCACAGGAACACAGAGCGTTGATAGCGTGGTCGAACATCTGTAGCAACAGCAACAGCTGGAAACAATATAAATATACATGTATCAACATACATTTTCAGCCATGGAGATATTGTCCCAGTACATGCGTTGCATAACGGAAAGAACACTGACGTTTTGATTGATGTTAACAGTATTACACTTCAAATTTATCTTTGTTACATCATTCACGATATAAACAACAAGAACATACCAACATACCATCATTAAGATAATGGTCGGAATTCAAACTCAAAACACGCAAAACTTCTATAATTTCCAATACGTGTTGTGAGTTTGTCTGTTGTCGGTATCTTTACATGTCGTGATGTTGGAATAAACCTTTAAATATAAATGCAAAATGTCAACTTTGCTCGGGACAATAGGGAAATTGAAACCATCACGCTTCTTATATATCTTGTTAAATTGCAAAACACGACCAAAAACAATGTTTACACGGAGACACTTGAACAAACACAATGAGAATAAAACCATACGTTCCAGAATATTAACCATCTCCTACTTTATCGGTAAAATCCACCATGTAAATATTCCTTAATCAAAGTAATTAATGTCACGTTCTCAAAGGATAACTATTTAAACGACTGCGTGTTGGGGAACATGTTTATTGTTACACAATGTTGAAAATATAGTGCTCCTCTTACACAATCCAAATACTACAATTAATTTTAGTGACGGGGATTGTAGCACGATAGTAACAGTGAAATATTCAGCAATCCAACAGACCGATTCTGTAAGAACTTTTAAGATGGTTTTAGAAAAAAAATAAATTAAACAAACAACCTGGAGTTAAGAAGTATTTTTATATCATTGTAAACCTACATTTTCTTTGTTTCTAAATAGAATTAGGACTTGCTGGTAGATTTTAATTTTCTTTCATTCTTTTTTTTCTCTCATTCCTATTGATCAGTCGTGTAACTTTACGAAAGTGCGGAAAGATTAAAATTTCTGTTCTTTTCTCTGGGTCATATAAATAGCATTTATGTAGCTACTTCATTGCTTGTTATTTCTTTTTACTATTTGAAATATATATTGCTCAAACTATATGAAAAGTAAATGTGTGTAGAATCGACTTAATCAAGAGAGAATTTAAGCTACTTGACCAGCGACAACAGAAGTTCTGTGTATAGATAACGTTTTTGAGCGAATTATAATCAATCTCATAGAACGTACTTCTTTAAGAGCCCTTAATGTTGAAGAAGGTCACCCAACCTGAGAGGTTTCGTACTTACAGTACAATGATGTTCTCCAAACCTTCCTCTGTGTCATCAAAGTGAAATGTCAATGTGTACACATTTTATCATAATTAAATCCTATTTCCGTTCGTATGGATTTGAATATAACTTTAGTACAACACACATCCTTGAAATATCTTAATCCAGATATAATGGTATTTTAAATTACACGTCAGTGCACTGACCTGGTGCTATCGCCGATCCTGGACATATTATTATTTCAAACAACGGGCGCATTTTTTTAAGTCATGAAAGACAAACCTCCAAACACGAATTGGGTCAGTGGGTTTTATTATTAATGGTATTTTGATATCAGTACAACATAACTAAACTAATGTCATAAAAAATAGGCCGTGCAACCAAAAATGTTCAGCCAATTATAAAAGACGCTTAAAATCACTCTTCTGGCATTCTGATTTATAAAACGGCCAGTTTACTAAGCATATTTCAAACATTGGAAATCGTACATTTTCACTTCACAATTTCGAAATATAATCCTCCTTGTTGCAGTTGCATTCTATCTTATCTAATTCATTCAGTATATAACACCACTCAATCTATAATGCACATTTCAAAATATTAACCACAAATATATACATGGTGCACTATACCCTTAACTAAATACACTATTATAATTTATTTATATGTAAATTGACGTTTACAATTAACAATACTCTTCCTAGTCGCCAAATAAAATAAACTTTAAGACAAACATGTTCAGTTACTTTTACATATGCAATGCCAGCAAACATGACATTTTTGCTAGCACTTTAGAGAGATATCACAGACACTTGACAAATTTATTTTAGCAAACCCGCATTGCGTACATATTGGTTTAATCCGACGACCAGGAGATATTTCGAAGAGAAATGTATATTTAGTTGATGTTTTAGCAAAAGAAGGAAGTGCAGGACGATTAAGCTATATTTATTTTTAGTTGTGCTATGAACTCACTTTAAGCTGTGTTATAAACTCATTTTTATGTTGATGCCATGCCTTATACATCATGCATGTACTGTTACTTTTATTTCAATATTCCTTCTGTGATTTTGTTCTTTGTGTTATATTTTATGTTTTATCGTAAAAATAGCTCTTCTGAGCTAATGTTACGTGTTTTATTATATACGAAAGAGAATAAAATTTCTGGTATCTTGTAATATTCTATATTAGAGATGACTGTCAAAAGATCTTAAGATCTTACATTTGTCACAATAAAATGTATCTCTGTATCAGATCAAATAAATTGGATGTGTCAAGCACGCTACGGTTACCTCTGATCAGTCGATATTGAATTTCGATCATTTATATTTCAATATGAATTTTATGTTTTTAATTAAATTTTAAGAGAAATCAGATATATAGCAAGACCCCTTAAGAATGTCGTCCGTATCAAAACAAAAACAACATAAACACATACAAAATGACATCTACTAAGTCAATATTATATTAAAACTCTTTTGATGTTTCGGTGTGTTTCATGCGACTGTAACTACGACGGAACGATGTTCACCGGTCTCGTGTTGAATACTACTAATACGAAGAATCTTTGTCCCATATGCGTTTGTAGGGAACACATACATCGCCAAACTTCGGTTAAGCTGATATTTTACATCGATCTTTATGTTTGTGCCGACTTGTGCAATAATCGTGTGTATTCGGGCCCGCATTCCCTCAAGTGTCAAAATAAGATTTGCTCTGAAAAGAATGGCATCAAATAATTTCGAGACGCCAATCGAAATTGATGGTTCTGTCCTTGAAGGAGTAAGTATTTGTGAGGACTTACAGCCACGATTGATGGACTGAGGAGAGTTTTGTCCAAGATATCATTGGCGCATTAGATGCGGACATCTTAAGAATCATTTTTCGATAGGTATACCTTGTTGATGAAATGCGACCAAACAAATACATAAATGACTTGAACTGTGTTTATACAATAAGATTTGTTTAAGAACTGATTAGTGAAATACCAGATTTTTTTCTACAAAAATATCCAGATACGACCCTAAATTCGCTCACCTGAAATGATCGACATGTGTATCGGACATAAGACTGCACTCCCGTTTCTGATGACATCACTAAATCACAAAGACGCTTGAGTTAGCTTCGTGTGACCCACGAGTATTACATAAAATCATAATTTGAACGATAATAACATTTTGATGAAAATAAAAATCAAAATACATTTATGGTGCAAAAGTGTTAGATATATGTGTAAATGTGTGCGCCTTTACTAAAGCTTTAGATTCAAGTTTTTATTGTTTTATACTTATTGAAACAAATATTGACTTAATTTTACTTTCCCAATGGATTCATTATCCGATCAATCATTTTCAAGCTGTTATATTTTAAACTGACGTTGCCCCTATAAATTTTACATGAAATTGCCTCTTGGAATTCCCACTGTTACATTATAAGTACAAATAATAGACAGGTACTATTAATATCGATACCTGGCATTTGAACAGATTTGTAAAGTTGTTTAATGGCTACATTAATGTAACTAGTACATAGGTAGAAAATTCCATCATTGATTCACATGTACTTGCCAAGCTTTGATAGACCTACATGTACCATTGTGAAATATTTAGCTGTAGATTTCAACAAAGTGTTACATTGTACAAAACTACAGTTAAACAGAGTAGAGATTAAACAGGCATCAGTTTTATTTACAGTAACTATGCAATGCAGGCTCATCAGCAATGTCATCCAGTTGATAAGTCCATTGTGAAGGCATGAAGGAAGGGAATAATGTTAAGAGTGTCATAAATGACAAAATTTCTTTTTTGTTTTTTTATTGGTTTATTGCTTTTTTTATTGCGAAAGTTATTTAGCGAAGCATGCAAAATTACTTAAATGATTAAATGGTAGGGTTTTAACAGTTACAATGTGATTGCAGATTTATGGTAAAAGAAGATGAGAAGATGACAGCATTGTTATGATTGTTAATAAAAAAATACTTTTTCTTGATAGGGAGGTCAGATTTTGAGAAATGCTGCAGCTTTAAGCTGTGTGAGATGCTGCCCAATTCGAGTATACAACATCAGAGCTGGTCGGAGTAAACCAGGACTTCGGTAAATTTGTTTGATATTATTACAGCTTATTTAGTGTTTTGAAGAACCATTGGTAACTTACAAGCACTTGTTGTCTTAAACACAGAGGTTAAATTATATGTTTGTTTAACATTTATGAACTTTTAAGAACGTAATCCTTAGACAGATATCCGTTCAGTCTTATGTTAATAATAAATGTATATATATTGAAGACCATAGATTGGAACCAAAGAACTAATAAATAGTGTTGGTTTGAATGCAGCTTATCAATAAATCTTGGTACAAATTTGTTGATACTTCTGTTTAACAGACCTCAACATCTCTCCGGCCTCATACTGATAAATGATATTTGTGGAGGTCGATTAGTTGGTGGAGATGTTTCATCACAAGACATTGTATTTCATCCTGGTAAAGTGAAGTCTGGGTCTTATTTGGCTGATCCTGGTACTGCTGGGTGAGTTTATTTGATATTAAGATGTCATTATTGTTAAAAATCAGGATAAAAAACAATGTTTTAAATTTTCAATCTTAGAAATCTACCTTCTTCAAATTGAGGTAGAGACCTGTATAGAATGTCTTTAAAGATACAAAGACAGAATTATTAGGTAAACAGACACAAATCTATCTGTTACATGGATTTTAACTAACATTAACCACAATTGACATACCAAGTTCAATACTGTTACTTTAAAGTTTCACTAAGATAAGTAACTGTCTCTTAATTTACTGTACGTTGTAGCAGCACTTGTCTCTTAATTGACTCTATCTTGTAGGAGTATCTGTCTGTTGATGCAGGCTGCCTTACCCTGTTTGCTGTATGGTTCTGGGGAGTCCCACCTGACCTTGAGGGGTGGCACCAATGCTGACATGGCACCACAAGTGGACTATTACAACTATGTAAGTCACACAATACATTAGGAAATTTCCAGACTATGTACAGGGGTCTTCAATTTGGGAATATATCATAAATACATATATTCTCATTTCACATGTTGCTGACTAAGACAATATGAAGTTTGAAGATGATACCTTCTTAATAGATCTGACTACAGTGAAGACAGAATAAACTGCTTTCTTAATGTAAAAAGACACTTTGTAACAATCAACATATATATATAGAAATTACGTTTCCAGCATTCATACACTTTCAATAACCCATAAATGAGGAATGCTTTTGAGACAATAATTTCTGAAACAGGTGATAATTCATATCTTTGCTTTGTTTCAGGTATTTCAACCTATGGTTGCTAGATTTGGAATGAAGATGGATATTAACATCAAGAGAAGGTAAAGTTAAATTTGTGAGTGTTAGCAATATCTGATTTAGGATATCAAAGCATTCTCTCATTTGACTTCATATTTTGTTTTTGTTTTTTTTTGTTGGGGGAATGGGGCGGCGTTTGGGTGAGATAAGATTAATGCAAAGCTCAGTGAAGAGAAGACTCTGGATTAGTTGATGTTTAAGGCTTTCTGTGGTCAATATTCCAGACTTTAGACAACCATCAATGAATTTGCAAAAACATATTATCTTAAGATATTTTCTGGTTTTAAATCAATATGATGATATTTTCCATGTTTGAAAATACTTTGTAGGGGTTACTTTCCAAAAGGTGGAGGGGAAGTGGAAATCACATCATATCCAGTAAAATACCTTAGTCCAGTGAAAATGATGGATGTTGGAAAGGTAGTAAAGATCTCAGGACGTGCCTTTGTGGCTGGAGCTCTTCCAATAAAGGTACAAAATAACATGCATCTTTTAGTAACACTTTGACCAGTGATGTTCATCCATGAAGTAGAGATGATTGATTTTATCAACCTTGTGTACCATCTTGTTCTCATTTTGGAACTTGACATTACTTACTTGGATTGAACAGAATTTACTGGATGGGTGTTGTTGATGAAACAGAAGATGTTTTTCCTTCCAGAACACCTGGTCTTAATTGCCTTGTTCTTTTTGAGGGATCTCTGTGTAAATCTTTCTTTTGTTTCTATATAGCCATTGTTTCATCAAATTAGAATTGACATATTTCGTTAGTTATTTTTCTCTCTGATGAAAGTTTTAAATATTGATAAATTCAAAATATCAGGAGGTTCTAGCATTTTTCATTATTTAAACAGGTCATAATTAAGCCAATATCAGGCTGACCCGATGAAATCAATTGAGATGGTGATATTGGCATTCTCTGTGTTATAGCAGATTACACCTATCAGACTTTTTCTTTAACATTTCACAATGATTGATGTATTCCTTCTTAAAGGTAGCAGCTATAATGGAGAAACATGCAAAAGCTCTTATACGTAAAGACTTGCCTGATGTACCTATAAGTATAGATGTGGTGAAGGAGCCTCCACATATGGCTGTTGGTACTGCTACAGGTATCATGTAAGTCTTTGTGTTATCTTATGAAATATACTTTTTGTTTTCTTTTTTAAATCTGCAAAAAAAAAAAAACCGTTTTACATATTAAAGTTCATTCACATCGATAATTTTTTGTTTTAGATTTTTTATTTGATATTTAATTTTGATAAATTATGTCTCATCCTTGAATTAGTTTTAAAGTTGTAAGCGGTTTGAAATCGTTGGTATTTTATTGAATTCACATTTATTGAGTCTCATACTTTTTTTGTGGTTTCCTTCAAATGATAAAGTTATGAAGTAACAACCAATATATTTGAACCATTTTATGTTTTTAATCTGACAGAGTAGTTGCAGAGACTTCTGAAGGATTGGTACTGGCTGGATCAGCACTAGGAAAGAAAGGTAAGATCATTAATATTTAAATACCATATTCTCAAACTGCCATACAGTGTCATAACCAAATATTGTGTCTCTATAATATCATTTTATTGTGGTCAGGTAGTAGAGCCAATACTTTGTACTGTTAAATGATGGGTAGATGGGTCCAGTAAACAATACCTAATAAATCATTATAAACCACTTCCTGCCTGTTGTGATTGATTCTCCAGTGTTTAGGTAATTTTGTAGTGAAATTATTATTATTTTATAGAATGGTTTTATTTCTAGATTTTTCGTAATTTGCTGTTCTAGAAACTGAAAAAGAAAACAAAGAGCTTTTCAATTAACCTTGTAGTACAGTTAGAATTAATCAATATTAGGAAGTTCACAACATTTTTTTTTATATTTGTAACACATATAATTAACAATTCATGTAATTAATCCTTCTTTGATCAAATTACGGAATGAAAAACTTAGTTTTAATTACAAGAGGGGTTGAGTTGGATTAATGTTCATTTTAATTATCATATTTTCTTTCCTTGGTTAATTTACTTCTATGGATACACATATCCAAAGTGCTGTTACATACATGTATAAAATAGGTTAGTCGTTGTAACATGTACCAGTTTGAATCAAAGCTGGTCATATCAATCTTCTGTTGGAGACTTGATACAATCTCGTATTTGGGAAGGGATTCATCAGCCTGGTATTATTAGTATTTGAAAAGATGTTGGGTTTTAACACAATCAGTGATTGAAACTTGTGATTGAAAGTGTTTGCAAGCTTTCAAAAAATGTCTGTTTCCTATGTCAAGTCATGAGTGCAAATGACAAAGTCTTGATGACAGTACACTATTCACTGATTGGACATCTAAAATAGTAAAAAGAAACATATTTTATGTGCTTGCTTTATTGGGTAATCATCGAGATAATAATAGTGCTGCGGCAAGCTTGTAAAATGTCCTTAGGGAAGTGAAATGAGAAGTAAGACAATACCATGTCCAAGGTATTTGTATTTATTTATCTTTTTGACTTCTACAAGTCTAACGTCTCATTTATACTTTGTTCTGTATTATTCTGTGATAAGTATATTTACACAAAGAAACATCTGTCGCTGAAATGAAACATTTATCCTTTAAGTTGAAGTTTGTGTCCTCTATCTGCAGGGGTACCTGCTGAACAGGTGGGAGAGACTGCAGCTGAAGCCTTACTTAATAATCTGTGTCATGGGGGTTGTGTGGATGACTTTTTACAAGATCAGGTAAGTATCATTATCAAATAGACTTACTAAACTTTGAAAAACTTTTGTTACCTTAACATCAACAATCCACATTTTAAAAACTGATATGAAACATTGGCCAAAGGTTTTATCATTCACATATCATGTGTACATTATGTAGTATTGGACTCCATTGTAGAACAGGGACATACTGGTGCTAAACAATGAATTAGTCTTTGATTAGAAATTAAATTTTCTAGTAAAGTCTTTGGTTTAGATGCAAAAGTCATGGTTGCGGTTTTAACATTTATTTTGGAAGTTGAAAAATATTTTCAGTTGGCATGTAGTTTGTGAAATTGGTTGGTAAAGGACATAAACCAGACTAATGGAAAACAAAATTTTGTCAAATGTCCATCAATTGTTAACAATGGAAGAGTGAAAAAGGAGCTAATCTTTGGAGGCTTCAGGATAACATTCAAGGTCACAATACTTAGTCTATTTTTTATGGCATTGGTTTTTAACAGTTAATACTGCTGATGGCTCTGGCTAAAGGAAAGTCGCAGATAAAATGTGGACCTTTGTCCCTTCATACAGAAACGGCCATACATATAGCCAAACTTCTAACAAATGTAAGTATCATACCACACTCAGCAGCCGTCATACACATAGCAAAACTTCTAATGTCTGTAAACTCCGAAACTTCTTACAACTGTATGTACCATACCGCACTCAGAACCCATCATACACATAGCCAAACCTTCCTATTTCTGTGTTCCTCACCACACTCAGCAAACGTCATACACATAGCCAAACCTTAATATCTTTGTGTACCAGATCACCCATCATACACATAGCCAAACCTTCCTATTTCTGTGTTCCTCACCACACTCAGCAAACATCATACACATAGCCAAACCTTCCTATTTCTGTGTTCCTCACCACACTCAGCAAATGTCATACACATAGCCAAACCAACATTTCTGTGCAAACGTCATACACAGCCACACTCAGCAAACGTCATACACATAGCCAAACCTTCCTATTTCTGTGTTCCTCACCACACTCAGCAAACGTCATACACATAGCCAAACCTTCCTATTTCTGTGTTCCTCACCACACTCAGCAAACGTCATACACATAGCCAAACCTTCCTATTTCTGTGTTCCTCACCACACTCAGCAAACGTCATACACATAGCCAAACCTTCCTATTTCTGTGTTCCTCACCACACTCAGCAAACGTCATACACATAGCCAAACCTTCCTATTTCTGTGTTCCTCACCACACTCAGCAAACGTCATACACATAGCCAAACCTTCCTATTTCTGTGTTCCTCACCACACTCAGCAAACGTCATACACATAGCCAAACCTTCCTATTTCTGTGTTCCTCACCACACTCAGCAAACGTCATACACATAGCCAAACCTTCCTATTTCTGTGTTCCTCACCACACTCAGCAAACGTCATACACATAGCCAAACCTTCCTATTTCTGTGTTCCTCACCACACTCAGCAAACGTCATACACATAGCCAAACCTTCCTATTTCTGTGTTCCTCACCACACTCAGCAAACGTCATACACATAGCCAGACCTTAATATTTCTGTGTTCCTCACCACACTCAGCAAACGTACACACACACATAGCCAAACCTTCCTATTTCTGTGTTCCTCACCACACACACAAACGTCATACACATAGCCAAACCTTCCTAACATTTCTGTGTTCCTTCACCACACTCAGCAAACGTCATACACATAGCCAAACCTTCCTATTTCTGTGTTCCTCACCACACACACAAACGTCATACACATAGCCAAACCTTCATTTCTGTGTTCCTCACCACACTCAGCAAACGTCATACACATAGCCAAACCTTCCTATTTCTGTGTTCCTCACCACACTCAGCAAACGTCATACACATAGCCAGACCTTAATATTTCTGTGTTCCTCACCACACTCAGCAAACATCATACACATAGCCAAACCTTCCTATTTCTGTGTTCCTCACCACACTCAGCAAACGTCATACACATAGCCAAACCTTAATATCTTTAAGTACCATATCAGATGCAGAAACCAACATGTGCATAGCCAAACCTTAACATCTGAAAGTAAATTACTACACTCAGAAACAATCATTCACATAGCCAAACCTTCACATCTCTTAGTTCCTCACAACTCTCAGAACCGCCATACACAATGCCAGACTTCCAACATTTGTAAGCAAAACACCACACTCAGAAATCGCTATACAAGTAGCCAAACTTTAAGTATTTGTTAGTACCATACCACACTTAGTAACTGCCATACACGTAGCCAAACAATTAAATTTATAATCACCACACTCAGAAACTAACATACACATGCATATGCCAAACCTTAACATCACAAATTACCATACCATCTGAGAAACTGGTATCAACACCACCAAACGGTGGCATCTACAGGTACCTTAGAAACCATCATACTTATAGCCAGCTTTCTAACATCTGTATGTACACTTCCACACATACATATCACTGCCATACATAGCAAACCTTCTAACATCTACACATACATCTCCACACTCAGAAACCAATATCATACCTCGCCAACCATCTAACACCTGTATGTACACTTCCACACACAGAAACCAGCACTATACAGAGCCAACCATCTAACATCTATATGTACACTTCCAAACACACAGAAACCAGCACTACACAGTGCCAACCATCTAACATCTGTATGTACATTTACACACACACACACAAACCAGCACTATACAGAGCCAACCATCTAACATCTGTATGTACACTTCCACACACACAAACCAGCACTATACAGAGCCAACCATCTAACATCTGTATGTACACTTCCACACACACAAACCAGCACTATACAGAGCCAACCATCTAACATCTATATGTACACTTCTAAATACACAAACCAGCACTATGCATAGCCAACCAATTCACATCTGTATGTACACTTCCACACACACAGGAACCGGCACTATACAGAGCCAACCATCTAACATCTGTCCGCACACTTCCACTCACCGAAACCTGCACTCTGCAGAGCCAACCATCTAACATCTGTATGTACACTTCTACACACAAACCAGCACTATACAGAGCCAACCATCTAACATCTGTATGTACACTTCTACACACACAAACCAGCACTATACAGAGCCAACCATCTAACATCTGTATGTACACTTCTACACACAAACCAGCACTATACAGTGCCAACCATCTAACATCTGTATGTACACTTCTACACACAAACCAGCACTATACAGAGCCAACCATCTAACATCTGTATGTACACGTCCACACACAAACCAGCACTATACAGAGCCAACCATCTAACATCTGTATGTACACTTCTACACACAAACCAGCACTATACAGAGCCAACCATCTTACATCTGTATGTACACTTCTAAATACACAAACCAGCACTATACAGAGCCAACCATCTAACATCTGTATGTACACTTCTACCCACAAACCAGCACTATACAGAGCCAACCATCTAACATCTGTATGTACACTTCTACACACAAACCAGCACTATACAGAGCCAACCATCTTACATCTGTATGTACACTTCACACACACAAACCAGCACTATACAGAGCCAACCATCTAACATCTGTATGTACACTTCTACATACAAACCAGCACTATACAGAGCCAACCATCTTACATCTGTATGTACACTTCTACATACAAACCAGCACTATACAGAGCCAACCATCTTACATCTGTATGTACACTTCTACACACAAACCAGCACTATACAGAGCCAACCATCTAACATTTGTATGTACACTTCCACACACAGAAACCAGCACTACACAGTGCCAACCATCTAACATCTATATGTACACTTCCATACACACACAAACCAGCACTATACAGTGCCAGCCATCTAACATCTGTATGTACACTTCCTCACACACAAACCAGCACTATACAGAACCCACCATCTAACATCTGTATGTACACTTCTACACACAAACCAGCACTATACAGTGCTAACCATCTAACATCCGTATGTACACTTCCACACACACAAACCAGCACTATACTGAGCCAACCATCTAACATCTGTCCGCACGCTTCCACCCACAGAAACCTGCACTCTGCAGAGCCAGCCATCTAACATCTGTATGTACACTTCCACACACACAGAAACCATTACCATACATTGTACATAGCCAACCTTCTAACATCTATAAGTACACTTTCATACTCAGAAGCCACCAGCAAACATAGCTCACCACAAATATGAATCCCAATCTAAAGTATCAATACAAAAGAGTTAATCCCTAAAGTCAGAGCTTATTTTGACGAGTTCAAAGTAAAGTAGTCTATAGTGAGTTGTATACTGCTCTGTAACTTTATTATGTATAATTACGAGTAGTAATAACAAGCTTGTCTATATGATATGACGGATTGGGTAATGGTGAAAATACAAATTTATCATAATATCTCTTTTATTTTTTTTCAGGCAAAATTTGATGTGAAAGAAATATCAAAGACCTCAACTATAATTGAATGTGAAGGAATAGGACTAGAAAACACACAGTTATGATAATCATACATGTTCTAAGAAACTTTGTCAGCAAGAGCGCTTCATCTCAGGTGAATTCAGTGCTGGTCTTAGGAAAAAACCTGATAAGTTTCCTCCCTGCAATGGTGATAACTAGGATATATCTTCCTGTTTATCATTACCATTTTTGATGTACTTACAAATTAAGGCATTGCAAAATTTTTATTAAAGTTTGTTTTCCAATATTTTAGCCTCCAAACTATAACATCGGTTAAGACTAGGGATTTTTTGTAGTGAACACTCCTGGTGAACTGTTGATATATTTATGATACATGGTTGTGACTCTAATCTTGTAAAGAATAGGGTGTTTCTTCTGACTCTGAAATTTTTAGAGTTCTGTTGATGTAGAGCTTTTCATTATAAAATGGCTATAATGTGTCCATTCACTGATAAGCTTATTTGTTTTTGCAGTAGTACACTTTAAGGTCAGCTGTCTATAATATCTTTGAAGGATCAGAGATGGATGTTTTTGTTAATGCTCTAAAAATCTTAATTCAAACTCATATTCGATGAAACCAGGGAAAAATATGAGCAAAAGAAAGATTTTCTTGAAGATTCCTCAAAAATACAAGGAGAATGAGACGAAGGATTCAGAAAAAATTAATGTTTTCTGCTTCATTGATGACATGTAAATCTTGGTTAATCCAAATAAGTAACATCACGTTCTGAAATAAGAACAAGGTAAATAACAATGGAACCACCAGTCAAATTAATGATAACCAAACATATCTGATTTCCCAAGGAAATTAAATTTTACAGCATAGTAATAAAATCTTAATAGAGGTTGTCTCAAGTTTTTCTTATAGTTTATTGCAATAAATGAATAACACACCAAATTCGTTATTTTTCTTCCTTCTCATAAAACCTGTAGAATGATGATTTGATTTACTTTAAAAACTGGAATTCAAATTTATAAACTTGTTTCATCCTTGGCAAGAAATTAAAAAAAATCCAGATACTATGAAAGATAATTTAAAGCTGACTCAACATGAATGTCTAACCTTATACGACAGAGGAGTGTCCATTGCATCAAGTCAAATTAAGTTAAAAGGGATGTGAGAACTAGTTGGACTTACTCAGTTCTGTGTAACAGGGACCTGAGAATTAACAATCTTGGAGAATACTGATCTGTACCACAGAGACTTGAGTATGAACATTAGTTACTGTCCTGATCAATATGGACCGACCCTGATCTTTAGCACAGAGACCTGAAATTAAGTTACAGTCTAGGTTGATATGATTGGATTATATCACAGCATTAGTATTAGTTACAGTCTTGGTGAATATTGATGTAACTTCATCTGCAATACATTGACCTGAAAATTAGTTACAGTCAAGGTGAATATTGATGTAACTTCATCTGCAATACATTGACCTGAAAATTAGTTACAGTCAAGGTGAATACTGACCTACTTCGGTCTGCATCACATGGACCTGAAAATTAGTTGCAGTCAATTTGAATACTGACCTATCTTTGTCTGCAATACAAGGGTTTAAGAATGAGTTACTGTCTAAGTGAATATGTACCTACCGTTGTATGTATTACAGAGGCTTGTGAATTTGTTACATTCTTGATCAATATGGACCAACCATGGTCTTTATCACAAACACCTGATAATAAGTTACAGTCGAGTTTGATATTAACCTCCTCTGGTGTGTATTACAGGGACCTCATAATTACTTACAGTCTTGGTGAGTATGGACCTTACTTGGTCTGTATCATGAACCTGAGAATTAGTTAAGTGTTTAAGTCTAGGTAAATTTTGACCAACCTTGGTCTGTATCATACGAACCTTAGAATTAGTTAGGTGTTTAAGTCTAGGAAAATATTGACCAACCTTGGTCTGTATCATACGAACCTGAGAATTAGTTAAGTCTTTAAGTCTGGGTGAATTTCACCAACCTTGGTCTATATCACAGACAATAGGTTACAGTCTAAGTGAATATAGACCTGCCCTGGTCTGTACCCAAGGGACCTGAAAATTTTCATCTAGCTGGAAATACTTTAGAGTTAGATACAGCAGAGCAAGCAATAAATTAATCTGCATCGTATAGCTAATTCATCCGTTTACGACTCGCCAGAGATGTAACCGGCCTCAATTTTGAAGTCTAGGAGAAAAATCCAAAGAAATGGAAAGAAAGGTCAAACCTGTGTAATTGGGATGGTGCACCAGCCCCATAATGCAATAATTTGCGTAATTTCTATATAAACTTATCCTGATCTGCTTTTGTGGTTATCAGACGTATTTAGAGATGTTAGATCATTGTTATATAGAATTACATGCCTCTATTGTTTAAGCATCAATTTGCACTGCATGTTGACCAAACCTACCAAAATGTCTGAAATGTTATAAACACGTTGCGATTGGTACAAATAAATCTGTAACAAATTCTCTGGTCTCTTTTGGGACAATTTGTGACTTTGTTGGTGAAGAATTCTTTTCGCGACAGCTTTCCTGAATGCTCCCGATGTAACCGCCATACTAGCTAGCGCTGTAACTTGGGGAAACGACTCTAATGTAGTTAAGGCCAAATTACCCAAGTTACCCTCTTTTGATGTAAGCAAGGATAACATTGACGCATATCTCAATAGGTTCGAAAGGTTTGCTTATACTGTTAAATGGGATCAAGCTGAGTGGGCAACTCATCTTAGTGCATTGTTAAAGGGGAAGTCACTAGAAGTTTACAATAGGCTATCTGCAGAAGATGCTTTAGTGTATGATACACTGAAGTTAGCACTCCTGAAGAGATTTCAACTATCAGAGGAGGGGTTTAGGCAGAAGTTTAGTAGCTGTAAGCCAGATACAGGTGAGACTTCGGTACAGTTCGTAACCCGGCTGGAAAACTATTTAACCAGGTGGGTAGATCTTACAAAAACACTGCATACATATGAAGGTCTAAGAGATCTTCTATTACAGGAACAGTTCATCAATGCTAGTAATACACCTCTTGTTTTGTTTTTGAAAGAGAGAAAGCTGGTGAATGTAACTGAGATGGCACAGTTCGCTGATTAGTATTTAGAAGCTCATAAAGGAGCAGATTTGGCAGCATTTACGGTAAGTAAGGGACATAGTGGCAGATCTCAGAAGTCCAATACACCAAAAGATGAAGATTCTTCCCGGAAAGATGAACGGAGATGTTATGTCTGTTCTGATAAGGGGCACCTTGCAAAAAATTGTCCTATTAAGAAGAAACAAAGTCATCGAGCATGGTAACAGGATTACCAACAGATGAGTGTCTATGTTGCGGTTGTAATTCAGATACTGACAATGTGATAACCCCTAAAAACAGGGGAGTTAAAAAGAATAACAAGAGTAGTAGTAACAAAGCTATGAAAGACAGTAACCGCTCTGCAATGTCAGCAGGATGTGTTGTGTCAGTTAACTTGGGTCTATAGGACTGTACTACAGAGGATCATGTGGTGCTTGAGTGTGGGCATCACTTACCAGTGTTGAGCGCAGCATGTGGTAATGACGGAGTAGGTACGATTAAACATTTCCTCATGTTTACCAGTAACTGATGGTTATGTCGGTCAATCAAGGGTGTCAGTACTTAGAGATACCGGGTGCAGCGGAGTTGTAGTACGTAAGGAATTGGTAGAGAAATCACAGTTAACTGGGAGGATGGTATCATTTGTTCTCCTTGATAGCACAGTTAGGCAAGTACCGGTCGCATATATCATAGTGGATACCCCTATCTGAAAGGTGAGGTAGAAGCCTCGTGCTTTGACAATACTATATATGGCCTGATTATTGGGAATGTTGATGGGGCTAGAAACCCAGGAGACCCTGATCCCATGTGGAAGAAACAGCAGTATGAGAAAGGTCTGAAGGATCTAGATGATACTCCAAAGGGAAGTAATTCAGAAGTCAGGCCGTAGAGAGAAGAAGCCAGAAAGGTAAAAAGATGAAACCACTACGTGTACCATCTATTCTGGATTTGAATCTAGATAGGAAAGATATCAAGGAAGCCCAGGAAAAAGACGACTCTCTACGACACTTGAGGAGTTTGGTCAAAACAGGAGAGAAAAGGAAAACTGGTAGGTACAATACTGTATGGTTTGTCGAATCTAAAGGATCTATCGGAAGTTTCAGTCGGCAAAGGTGGAACGGGGTAAGGAGTTTACACAATTGGTGGTGCCAAAAAGGTTGAGGAACCATGTAATGGCCATTGATCACGAGTCTTTTTTCTCAGGCCAGGGATCCAGGATGAAAAGGTTTTGCCGTTCCTGTGATATATGTCAAAGATGTTTCCTAAGGGGAAAGTGAGTAAAGTACCATTGACGGAAATGCCATTAATAGATGAACCATTTCGAAAGGTTGTCGTGGACTTGATAGGACCCATTCACCCAGTGACTGAACAAAAGAACAGGTACACACTTACTGTGGTCGACTATCCCACTCGTTATCCTGAGGCCACAGCCTTGAAGAACATAGATACTGAGACGGTAGTTGAGGCACTGGTGGAAATGTTTTCCCGTGTAGGCATTCCAAGAGAAATTTGATCTGATCGGGGATCTCAATTTACCTCAGAACTCATGAGAGAGGTGGGACGTTTGTTATCCATGCAACAGTTAACTACAAGTCCATACCATCCTATGTGTAATGGGTTGGTGGAGAAATTCAATGTGACTCTGAAGTCTATGCTCAGAAAGATGTGTGCAGAGCAGCCTAAGGATTGGAACAGATATCTTGGAGCACTTTTATTTGCTTATCGAGAAGCTCCTCAGGACAGCTTAGGATTCTCCCCATTTGAACTCCTGTATGGTAGAACTGTTCGTGGTCCCATGATTATACTAAGGGAGTTTTGGACTCAGGATGTGGAAACGCCAGAGATAAAGTCTACTTATCAGTTTGTGTTGGATTTGAGAAACACCTTAGAGGAGACCTGTCGGCTTGCCAGAGAGGAATTGCGTAAGTCTCAGAAAAAATATAAGCATCACTTTGATAAAAAGGCAAAACAGAGACGTTTCAAAGCAGGAGAGCAAGTCTTTATGCTTTTACCGACAGACAGAAACAAGCTGCTGATGCAATGGCAAGGGCCCTATGACATAGTTGAGTGTATTGGGGAGAATGATTACAGGATTTGGGTAAAGGATAAACTGAAGGTGTACCATGCAAATCTGTTAAAAAGGTATGTAAGAAGATTAGGAAATGATGACCCTCAGAAAGTACAGGAGGTGGGAATGCTGAGAACAGCCTCTGCAGCTGCGATAGAGGATGGTGATGTTAGTGGGGAACTGAACATGACAAAGAAGGCTTTAATAGATCTACTACAGATGGTGTCAAAAGAGACAACTGAGGATGTACATATCTCTGAGGATTTGAGTGAGAGCCAGACCCAAGAAGTACTGACTGTCTTAAAGACGTACGGAGAAACCCTGACAGATTTACCAGGTTAGTGTAACATTGGAGAGCATAACGTTCAACTGACATCTGAGGAACCTATCCGTTCTCGACCATACCAAATACCCCATGCGATGAGTGATACTGTCAGAGAGGAGGTCCACATGCTGGAAATGGGGGTTAAAGAAAACTCGTCCTCTCCCTATGCCTCGCACATAGTTCTAGTAAAGAAACCAGATGGCAGCAACCGATTTTGTATAGATTTCAGAAAGCTCAACGCTGTATCAGTGTTTGATGCAGAGCCGATGGCCGATCCGGAGGAAATATTTTCCAAGATAGGAAAAAGTAAGTATTTTTCAAAGGTGGATCTTAGTAAAGGATACTGGCAAATCAGTGTTAGCCAGTACACTGCGTTTATTACTCCAGATGGTCTTTACCAGTTTACCGTAATGCCGTTTGGGTTAGTGAATGCTCCAGCTACTTTCAATCGG